GAACTCTCATTTTTGAATTTTCATAATCGATCTTTGCATAATTCCTTTTTACGATGAAATGGAAATATTATAATTCTAATGGAATTAGAAAAAAAGTATCTTAATTGCCATCCCTCAAGCATCTCAAATATATTCAGGGTGTCTTATTTTAACTCGACTGAAATACCTTTAAAGAAATCATGAAAGAAATATTCTTGCAAGTCGTTTCATACACACAATTACGAAAATCAAGTTAATTTTTTCACAGTTGTCATTTAGTTTTACGAAAATCATAAAAAGATCAAAATTAGATCTTCATCAATATCAACCTCTCGTTACCTCTCGATCAAAATTTCGAAAGACTATACGAATTATCTCGATAACCTCTCGATTATCTCGATAATATTTCCATTTACTTCCATTTTATGACGAAACCAGATTACAATATCCCTCTCGCCAATCAACAGGAAGCGAATGACACCACCAGTAAGAAGATCTTCCCAGAAACAAGCTACGTGAGATGGAAAAAATGTTCTCGAGCAATTCTAGACGTTTCATTTTCCTTCTCTTCCTCGTTTCGACCATGAGGATCGCGCAATCGCGTTCTTTTCCTTCGATTTTGCTTCACGTGTACGTACTCGCACGTGTAATTACAATGCAATGTCACAATAATTTACGACACATGTCTTCTACATTTTTATTATTCCTCTTTTTCTTGTTTTTCTTTTTTTTTTTTAATTCTAACATCTTCTTTAAAACTAATTCACGCTCTTATCGCCAAAGACGAGAACGATAAGATTCTTTAATTATTACTCTAATTAGTCGCTTCGACATTGGAAACGTTAAGATGTTATTTGTTATTCTTTATCATGTTGTTGTTGAACATCTTGTATTCTGATTATAGATTGGAGTTGATTAACTTGCAAAACAAGATGTATATCAAAATATTATATTTACATGAAATACATTTGTTTTAATTAATTTAATTAATGTAACAAATATGCAATCACATCATGTTTTATAGCAAGACAAAATTTCATTCATTGATCCAAGGCTATTATACGATCTAATGATTTAATACATCTCAATTTATTATTTTGTCTTTGTGAGGATTGTTTGTAAAAAAATATCGTTAGCAAATTTACGTGCACAAATTAAAATAATATCGTACCTTGTACGTAAGAGATATCGAAGAATTATAATGATAGAACAGAATGGTTGGGTACTAATGCGATTAAACACACCCACGATTCGTCACGTTGCCTTGAAAAATTTGTTCGTCGTAAAACAAGAAAGAACATTATAGTTAACTTATTGTGTATATTTATTATTTATCGTACAGATTGTCACGTATGACTATATTTACACACATTTTATAAAATTTTATAAAATATGCTCAAAATTTAATTTCTCTTTTTAAATTTTATTTTTAAAAATCTAATTTCAAAAAGTTGAACTTATAAACTACGAATTCTTGTTCGAGCAATATTTCATTCGAATAAGAATTTATCAAAATATAATCCTATGATATGATAATTTCAGAATTTTAATATAAAGTACCATATTTTCAAAAACTAAATGATAACATTATTACGAACGAAAATATGGAAAATTTTAAATAAAGAAATAATTTTTATATTTTATATTTCTGATCATTTAATTAATATTTTCTTGAGTATACTGCACGTTTCTCACAGTCATATTTCTTATTTTCAAATTTTCGAATCCACTTAAATCCATTCATTCGAAAGAAATGATCGTATCAAAATTAATTTAAATTCTTCATAATTCATAAAAAGCATTATTATATCAAACACGATACTCGAATACCACAAATCGAAGTCACGAGATTAACTGGATGACGATCATGCGCGTGCCTCGACTCGCGATCTCTTCACTTCCACCCACGCGCTAGTATTCGTCAATGGCGATACGAAATCCTTGGATTCCGCCAACGATTTTGTCCAGTGTTCGAGTCACGATCGAAATCAAGAAAAAAAAAAAGGAAAAAAAGAAAGAAGAGACGCGAATGATTCAGAAATCGTAATTTCCTGACTCGTACATTCGCCTACATCGAAAATGTACACTCACGTTCATAAGTAATTGGACATTTGTTAATTTGTTGATCTAATAAAATTAAATAAAATATTTGTTTGCCCATTGGTATCACATATATTTCAAAATTGATTCGAAGTACTTTTTCTTCAATCATTAGAATTTTATTTTTCATTTTGTATTTTATCTACATCAATATCTTCTTAACACGTACACATTTTATCCCAAATACTTTTTAAACGACAAAGATTTATCAAAATATAATTAAAAGTAGTTATAAAATAATCACAATTTTGTACATCAACTTTCTTGCATTTTCTTTTATCCATCACAATCATCAACCCTCCAAAAGTGTCTCAGATTCATGTAGTTTCAGAGCTTCGATCATATCTCTGCGAACGTGTCTCATAGAATGACTTATGAACAACAGTGTATTATACGATCCTGTTACGAGGGCTTTGGAAGGAGTGGCCATTCACGCGTGACACACGCGCTCTCGCGAGTACGCGAGCCCACGTTCATTCATAAAAATCACTCTATTCTCAGAACCAGCTCGGGTTTATTACGAGATTCGTAAGCCACGGAACCGTGATCCATGTTTGAATCATTGACACCGGATGAAAAAAGCGATGTCTATCGGTGTGGACGAGGAATTTTGGTCGAGGATCGTGGTCAAAGCTTCCCATTTACGAGGAAAGAAATTTATTCGTGGTGAGAAACGGTTTCGTGGAAGAATTTTTATTCCGACTTGGATAGAATTTTTGGGGGAATCTCGTATTTATCTTCCGTGATTCGTATTTTATCCGTTGAATTCTTGGTAATTGAGAGATTAATTGGATGGACTGCGACGATGAGAAATGTGGAGAGAAGTAATTTTTTACAAATGTTTAAGAATATGTTTGTTAACGTATTTTCTTTTTTTTTAATTCTTCAAACTATAAATACTTTTTAAATTAACATGCACAATTTTGCCCACAATTTTTTAAAAATAAAATTACGGTAGTCTTTTTTTTTCCTCTCTTTCTCTCTCTCTCTATGCAAATCTCGATGTTTATTTTCGTCGATCTTACATACGTTACATACGAGTCCAGATCCATAAGAGCAGAGTTAATTTACATAAACGTTCCCTGGAACTCGAGCGATGCACTTGAAGCCATATTTCGTGGAATCCTGGACGAAATCCTTCTACGTGTTTAGAAAGGAATGCATCACGTTAAAAATAATACTGGAAGAATGGAATAATCTTGTCTTATAATACAGGTTTTAAATTTCTGTAGCCATTTAAAAAAAATTGCTTTAAATTTCAAGTATGAGTTAACCAGTCGTTTCTTTTTTTCTTCAATTGACGTTTCATCAAGTGAGTGAGAAAAATGAAATTATTATATTGACAGATGTTTATTAAATTATTTTCATTAACAATTAATAAGATATTGATTAATTGAAGATCTATTGTAACTATTTAATAAAACAAAACAGGAAAAATTAATTATAAAAATTCTTTCTTCTTAGCATTACATATTATTTCATTTTTTTTCTACATTAAAATTTACATTATCGATGGTTCGTCTACTTCACAAATATTGTACGTCCACTTTCCTCATATCTTCGAGAAAAACAGGTTTAAATATTCAATACGTACGTGCAGATTCAAGGACAAGCGATAAATAAAAATATAATTTTCATAAATTCATAAAGTAGATATAAATGTGACTTTTATACAACATGAAGGATCATTCAAGAACTATATATATTGCATACAAAATTCAAATTTCAACAAAAAAAAAAAAAAAGGATATTCGTGGAATGAACCATCGACGTATTCTCCAAAACGGAATAACAAAAATTTTGGAACATCGTATCAAATTTCCAAATTCTAAAATCCGTCCATTAAAAAATTCTCAATTATGAATTAATACCATAGTTGTTAAAAAAATAAGAGCACGAAAAGTTTGTTTCGATGAATCATCATTGTTCAACACTTCCGCTCCCGACTTTGAATCCGCAGCATAAATGCAGTCTGCACTTCGATTATTCGAATGAATATCTCTTTTATCTGTTACTGCATCGTGAGTCATAGCATAACTTCGCGTTTACGACGAGTCTAGTCGAGGCTAGGATTATGTTTTATTGCTCGTTTCACGGTTTATTGGCGTTTGTTCGGCGGAATTTAATGTTATTTAGCTAACAATAGAAAGAAGTTTAAAAGAGCACGCAATAATGCACGTTTATCGAGTGTAATTAGAATATGTTCCATTAGATACTATTTGACGAAGAAGATTTAAAAGAAATACTTTTTGCAGAATCTTAAGCGTTGAAATGATTGATGAAATCCATCTGCATGAATAATATTTCTTATTACTCGAACATACAGATTTCTTTGAAGAATACCATTTTTAAGAAAAATTGAGAAAAATTAAAATATCACGAGGGACAAACAATAATAATTTGTCTATTGAATAATTCTTACATCTTTCGATATTATTCTCGATTTTTCAATGATTTCTCGTAAACTTCATCGTTCATACATTCCATGCTGTGATTCATGAATTAACAAACTACCTGTTTGATAAACCGAAATTCACAATGATTCAGGCTAGAAATAAGAGACAAGGAAAGCGGAAACACGTACACGCGGCTCGCTTTATTCGCCAGAATATTAATTCCCTTTACTCGCCGTGGTTAAATAACTGTATCATAGCACAATATAGTCACTAGTCGGCGGGTCAATCCCCTCGGACATCACCATCTGTCCCATTTATATTTTTTCAGCGTGCGAAATCTAGCGGTACGATCATCAATCGAGATACCACGAATCTTTTTATAATCTTTTTCAACACCAAAATTTTTTTCAGTAAAAAATTTTCGAATAGAACAATTCACATATATTTTTCGTATATATGAATTATAAATTAAAAAGAAGGAAAGGAAATATTATTAAATAAAATTACTATTTACATCTGTTACAGAATTATCTGTCTCAATTTGGATATTTGCAACCTATGAATCCAACAAGTGGTGGAATCATATCCGGGGAAACACTCTCTAAAGCAATCTCGGAGTTTCAAGCTTTTGCTGGATTGAATATAACAGGTAAGTCTGGCTATTTTAATTTTTGTAATATATTTTCTAACGTTATAATAATTATATACAATTACAAATTTACAAAGAAACGATAAAAGCTTAATAATAAAATTATATTAACCAAGGATAATTAAAAATTAAATTCGAAATCCAAGTATGATTCAAGAATGATTGAAAAATTGGCGAATAATCTAAAAATAAAAAATCTATATTAATAATATTCCACAACGTCTCGAATGATCCACTTTAAAGTAATCGTATAAATCAACCGATAAATTATCTCGGTCACTTCATTATCAATTAACTTTTATTTACGTCCTTGCGATCGTATTATATATATTAAACCGTAATTGAGTATAATAGTCGCCGTGAATGCGTGAATCACACATTCAACGGATGCATTCGTTCGGTGTTCGCTCTGTTTGCTCTGACTCACCTCGTGACAACTATTAAATTTGCCAAAGTAATGGAAGTAGTAATGAAATAGTTGGCGGCGCGTTTGTATGCGTGATATCAGAGTCCGATTCCAAAAGTCGTTTCCTATACGTCAAAAGACGCGAGCGTCATACCTGTTCGCACGAATAAATTATTATTCAACCGCGAGTTGAATCGAGAGAGAAAAATGATTCTGATTATCAGTCAGTCAGGGGGGTAATTAGGATCTGAGAATAAAAAAAAAAAAAAGAAAAAAGGCGCAAAAGAATGACTTCACGGTCACGGTCGAATAATGGATCGATCTAATGGTTAGAAATGACCGGTTAGAGATAGAGATAGAGAAGAAAAGAATCGTTACGTAAAATGTGTCAGGTGAGGAACAATAAAGATGAATGAAATATTAATAAATGGATAATAGAAGAGATTGAAAAATAGAATATTCAAGAAGTTTAAGAAAAAAATAGAAATTTTTATTCGAGATGTTACTTTTTTAATTAAAATAGCCGAGAAAGAAAGAAGAATTTGTATAAAATTTGGAAAAAAAAAAAAAGAACTTATACGAAGTAGAAAAAAATAAAAATATTGAAAAATTTTGAAAAGTTATTTATAATTTAATATTAAATAATATAATGTAATTTAATTTTGATAATATTATTAAATGAAATGAAATATTAAATGAAACTTGTTTATGAGAGAAAAATAATTTTCGACACTCGTCGAAAATAAAGTTAACTGATTATGCTTGTTTGATTAGAATTATTTGTCTAACCATGATATTTATTGATAATCGTAAATAACTCCAAGTTACTCTACTTTGAAAGTAATATTTAACTTTATACCGTTTTTTATCCTAAGAAATAGAAGAAAAAAGAAATAATTAAGAAACTGTAAATATGAATTGCAATGCATAATGAACATTATTACGTCGTTGAAGTTCCATATCTTAATGAGGTGATAAACTATCTTCAAAGCGCTCAAGAAATATATTACGTAGAGCTAGCATTGAAATTATGATGATTTCGCAAAGAGATACTATACATCAGCTGTTAACACACGTACATTTTTGAATAAATAAACGTGTTCCAGTCTTGAAAAAAGTATTAAAAAATTAATTTTACTCTATATCAGATAATAAATAATTTAAATAATAAAAAAGACATATACAATATATAAAAAAAAAACAAAATTTCTAACTCGAACAAAAAACTTCATTAACATTAAAAAAAAAATCACATTTATATTGAAACTAACATAATTATCATTTATTATACTAAAGAAGAGGAGGCAAAAATGACAAACTCTCCAAAGAATCTCTCTAATTTTATCAAAATAGTAAAAACCAATTTTAAGAAAGCAACAAAGTAAATTTGTTGCGGTATATCTCTATCCTTTTATATCCAAGAAAACTGTAGAAAAAAATATACACTTGCACCTTCACGTACTTGTCTGACCGGCTTAAAGACCGGATTTTTAGCGTTTCTAGACCTTGAAAAACTGGACGCCAGTTAAACCGTTCGTTCGCATTGAAAACACGCTCGATTCCACGGACAAAAATCGATGGTGATTTGAGAGGAAGGAAAAGGAGATAACAACGGTTTTTGGAAAAATCGAGGAACGAAAGTCAGATCGTCAATATCTTGGAACAACGAGAATCGTTTAGCGAGGACTGGCTATTAAAATAAACCTTGACACAACAGTCGAGTCGACAACGAAAAAACAAATTGTTTCCGGTAAAATTTCAATGATTGGTTTGCGTAAAATCGAGAGTGCGTCGTTGATAAGAGAGAGATTTCTAATAACTGATGGAATATCAGATATTTTTCCAATAATTGATTTAATTCCATCGATAAATTTAAGAAATTGTTTTTGTAATTGTTTTGTTTTTGTCTGGATTTGGGTTTTTATTTGGAATAAAAAATAACAATTGAGAAGATTTCTAAGAAAGACTGTATTGTGATGTAGCTAATTTGAAAGTTAAAGATATAAATTATTTTTGCAAAAAATAAAATAGGAATTTATTTCATAAAGAATCGCGTAGGAACCGGAAATAGCTTATGTTTGAAAATGAAGACAATGAAGTCTCAATGATGATGCTGAGAGATGACTCATTGAGTTCGGTGAAATGCAGCAGATTCATCAATGGCGCTTAAAAAAATGACTCATACGATGTACAATAACTTGATCACGCGAACACATTTTTCTTCTAATTAATTTATCTAATCTTTCTAATTGCGATTTGAAATTATTAATCGTGGATTTATTTTTAAATAATTTCAATATTTCGAAATTAAATTTTACTTTGTATGAGTCTTTATTTTGTAATAATAATAATGAAAACATTGATATGAAAACAATAATATAACAATTATCAATAAATTATATTGAATCAAAAATTTCAATTTAATATTAACGATTATTGTATTGTATTAATAATATTTAATATTATTCTATAATCTACTCAATAGTTAATTGAAATTAAAATAATAATATCAAGCTGCATCATATTAAAAATGTTATTATAAATACTTGCAATTATTATAATCAATTTTAAAAAAATTGTCTTAATCATCACTTCTAATAGATATTTATCTGTTAAACATCAATCAATTCTTTTCTTTTTTTTATCGATTAATTATTTAATAAATTATTACCTCAAAGTGATTAGATAAAGATTATTAAAATTTTGGAATTAAAAGCAATTAAAACAAACATCGAATAACAAAGAATAACAAATATTAAAAATATATTGCAACGAAAAGAGATAATAATTGTAACGCAATTACGTTTTTCTATTGATTTTCTACCAAAAAAGACAAAGACACTCTTTTCGACGAATTGCCCAAGAAAGATTTGGTAAGGTTTCTATCGAATAATGAAATCTCCAACCGGAACGAGTAATCTGTGACACAAAAATTATCGAATTTGTCGATTATTATGAAATCGTGGTAAAAGTCACCTCGTATTTCCTGTAGAGAAATGATTTCACTTCGATCATTCGTAATAATGTTTGTACCCAATTTAGGACACGATAACAAATAAAATATCACGTATGAACGAGAAAAATTTCCATTTTTTTTTAAATGTATATAATAAAATAGAGACTAGTGGGCGAAAATAAATTACAATTTAATTGAAATAGATTAAATGACTAGAAAATTACGATTTCGAAGTATTATTGAAAGATCATGATTAAAAATTCAATTTTCGAAAACAATACAGGATTGATGGATGTGGATTGAAAAAACGAAGGTGAACGGAAGAATGATCTAACTATTAAATTGCATCTTATATAGCGGTATTTATTTGAGATGAAACGGTATTTATCGACAGCAATCATCTGCCACTATCAAACTAGAATTTCTTACTATGTGTATACTTAACATAATCAACCTTGTACTTATATATTGAACGCGGTGAATTAACTCGTGCACACGTAACAAATATGCTAGAAAGAGGAAGAAGATATTTCGTAAGAAGTTGTTCAACAAAAGTGACAAATTTCAGGGAAGTGAATTCGCGTGAAATCGATTATTACGCAATTACGTATGTTTTCGAATTTTTGCAACAGGAAAGAAATCTCTTCGTTAATGGTTAGAAAAAACTTTGTTAGAAAAAAAAAGAAAAGATGTTAACCAACAATACTTTATATTTTGAATTATATATACATAAGATATTTTTGTAGTATCTAATAGAATTATGAATTGATTTTAATTACTTCCATTGATCTGATTCATGAAAATGATTTGATCATTGCCTTCTCTATGATCTATCATTTGATAATTGAAATTTGAATAATTATTATATTTAGATGATATTGTCTAGAAGAAAAAAAAAGCATATAAAGCACTAGTTACGTGTTGAGAATGATGAATATTATTATTAGTACATACATGTATCAATAAAATGTAAAATGTAAAACAATCTTTCTAGTATTATAATTATAGCTGTGGTATCATAAATGATCGATATATCGAATATTTTTCTAACAAGATATTGTTCTGTCAGTAAATTTCAATATAATACAATAATGTTTTATTTTTATTTTTATTTTGATATTGCAAACATTAGATTTTTATGAAAAATATTGGCATTTCTGTGACAAAAAATTATCTATTTTATCATCAAAAACCAATTATTACATAAAAATCATGTTTCAAAATATCTACGATTGTAGATAATAAAAGAGAAAAAAAATAAACGTAATGAATGTTATAATAAAGAAAAAATAATGTTATATAAATCATTAAGCTGAATCAGATGTGATAACATTAACGATAAAATGGAAAATAAATGCATTTAATAATATATTCACTTATCATGTCATAAATACACAATGGACAAAATGAGTTAATTTCAAGCTGAAACTTCGAACCGATGAAAGAAAAATATTTCATCAATATTGCATTAATGATTATTATATAATTTGTTTTGAAATTAAAATTTTTCATCACAAAGTAAAGAATCACACTTGCACAAAATTATATAACATTGCTGACTTCAGTTTTATACAAGTATGGAATTCTTCGATCAATTTGATCAAATCTGCATTGAAAGAAAAATAAGTCCACGTGTTATCCACTTCGAAAAAAGTAAATATAATTGCTCTAACTTTATGAAGGATACTTAACATTTACACGTGTAAATGCAATTTTTTTTTAATTGAATAAAAACTATTGCGAATAAATATTTTTGAGTATATAAATTTTTCATTCAAATTAAATATTTATTCTTTTGGATAAAAAAGAAAAAGCATTTATATTTTTCTATTGTTAATAAATTCATCTTCATATATAACGAATGTATTACCTATTCAAAGAACGAAATAATAAATTGAGGCTTCTTTCTAAATTATAAAATTTTTCATAAAAAAAAGCATGCTAAACTCGATACGTGTCTCTTATTCAATAATTTAAATCTGTATAATAAATTATAAAAATCTATTTGATAAATTTATGGATTAAAAAATATATTCGAAATCTATATTTAGAAAACTAGAATACATAAAATATTGTTTGAAATTCAAGACATAGTAGAAAAGAGATATTTATCATGCAATAACTTAACAGGGATATTTCCAGTACTTCTTCAATCTACTCTAAACACGCTCACATCAATATCGAATAACTTGATAACTCGTAACCGTATTCAAATCGATTTATACGATCGTTCCGTTAATACATCACAATTTCTACGTAGAGAAGTATTAATAAACTTCCATTCGCGTGATAACTAAAACTCGAATCAAACGTTTCGAATAAAATATTGATTACATACGATCGAGATCGAGATAATTATACGTAATTCTTAAACTGTGATCTGTGAATCTATAGAGATCTAAGAGCCTAAGACAGGGATCTACAATTGACTTTTCAAACTAAAATTTAAAAATCGAACGTTTCAAATAAAATCAATTCAAATAATAGGATCGTTGTATACGATCGAGATCATATAGGTAAATTTTTTTACAATTATGGATATTAATTACTCGAATTAAATACAATTTTACTATTGCATAGATTATAATCATGGTATCGATCGTTTTAAGATTGGACTTAGAATTAGAATGTACGAATAACTTAACGTTATCACGTATTCTCCATTATTATACGTTCATTTGATGCATATGCACCGCGATACAAGGAAACGCACACATGAATGATTGCAAATAGAGAATGTAGAACGTGTAACATAGTTTTAAAGATCGATAACACTTTATGAATCCTACAATAAACTGAATTTCGTATGTAGGAAACGAAGAAAATGTATTCGATGCATTAAAAAGGATTACCTTTCATTAGATTGATAAAAAAATGAAAATTATGTATTGAAAAAAGCATATTAGAATATTAAGATCGATGAAATTAGAAAATTTTAATGGAAGAATATTGTCTGATGTATTATGAACGGATGATGAAATGATGAAAATTAATAAGATATTCTATTGTGAATAAACAATTTTTTTTTAAATTAAAGAAATTTTAAAAAGATAAAATTATAAGTAATGTTAAAAATTTGTATGTTGTATTTATAATTATTATTGAAAAAAATTACTTTTTTTTTTTTTAGGTTGATATCGATGAAGAAACATATAAACTGATGACATTGCCAAGGTGTGGTGTTAAAGACAAAGTTGGTCCTGGCTTTGGAAGATCGAAGCGATACGCCCTTCAAGGTAAATCAAATTAAAAATAGTTTAATTCCATAAAATGGAAAAATTTAATTCCATGAATGCTTTTTTACCAGTGCAAATATTTTCACTCACTTAACGTATCAATTTCAATTGTTAAAAATATCCAAAATGAAAAATAAGAAAATAGAAAATTAAAAATAACTTCTCTTATACAAAGAAAAGGAAAATAGATTATAAAACGATCATGAATTTGATCACTTTAATCTAATCAAATTTCATCAAAATATCTTATCACATAACAATCGAATTATTTAATCGATTCATGTAATAAAATCCAAAATCTTAGTTGTAATCACATTCAACTTCCGATCTCATTAAAATATGAATTTATTTAAGAAAAATTTATCAAAGGTACCAGAATTCAGAGTAATTAAAAGATAGAGAAAAATATTAAAATAATAATTTAAATAATATAGTAAAAATGTTTAATAATTAATAGAGAAAATTTGCATTTAAAGTTATTACACAAAACTAAAACAATTATTAAAAATTCGTGTAATTATTCGAGCATTGGAACGTATTCAATGTTGCTTTTAACTTCCCGTCACATTATCCTCATTATAGAATCAGTCACCTCAAACGGAATATATACACACCTGTAGTTCTTTGATGAATGCTCTAAATGCATTTTTTATGCATTAAAATTGTTCTAGATACAATTCCGAAAAGGATAATAGTTATTTTCATACGACTTATTAAATGAATCTTTATTTTTCAATTTATAATAAAAATTTCGATGCAATTAACCGAATATCAGTTGTAAAATTTAATTTTTTATAAAGTCAATTCGACAACTTACATTTTCTTCAAAACTAACATATAAATCCTCCCAAGAGAAGAAATTTTAAAGAATTTATCTTCTATAAAAAGAAATATTTTAAAAAATCCAATAAATAGAATTTTGCACGTCATACAAACACAATAAAATTAAAACAATATCATTAACCAATCCCAATAATATGATCAACCATTTTATAAAAACAATTTAAAATTCCATAACCTTCCCATTGAATCGTGATTCCAGTTATCCAATTCGTTTTCTTTTCATTAATTCTTTTTCTTTTTTTTTTCGCAAGAAAATGGCCCACTGTTTGATTCTGACTTATTCAATCGCACGATACAAGGATACAATCTATCTAAAAATTATCGAGATCGATTCTAACCATGACTTTGAACTTCGTGCAAACGTGCCTCGTTTCAGTGAACTCGTGGCGACAAGATCACCGATGCGTGTATCCTATGGATTTTTATCGCGTAACAGATCCCCTGGATGACCCATTAGATCGATTATGATCGAAATGACGATAGAAATTTATCAGGGCTGAAAATTGGACCGATTCAGAGCTAGATTGTGAAAAGTTTATTGTTTGAAGAAATTTGTTTCTGATAGGAGGAAATTTGAAATAAGTTAAAATAGAAGAATGAAATATTTCTTATTAGTATTTTGTTTTTTTTTTCTTTTTAATATCTAAAATTTTCTCTAGTTTTATTCTATCCATTTATATCCAAAGAAGGATATAAGCTTGGACGAGTTTCGCTCTTTAATGATAGAGGTATAATTGATCGACCTTGCTGTTAGATGTGATGTTTGACAAAGATAATAGATCGGTGATGTGATGACAAGGCTATGTATTTGACAATGAGCTTCTTTGTAATTTATGGATTATTTTTTTTTATCGTTGCTCATCACAGTTCAAAAATATTTGAAATATTGCAAAAATTTTTGGATATAATGACATACTGTTATATTGCCCAAATTTATCAATAATTTCTGAAAATAAAAGAATTAATTTTTAATTGATTTCTAGAAGACTGTTTATCTTTTTTCATAACGTTTTATAACAATAGATTATTTTGTTAAATACTTGTTAAATGATCGAGACAATATTGTTTCTGCAATTTTTGAAAATGATAACTCACTAACACATTCGTGATGAGAGTATGATACATTTCATGATTGCTTCTAATAGCAAATAAGATAAGAACATAAAGAAGATCTATGAAAGAACTTAGACGTATGGAAGTACAAAGTTCATCGATGCGTGTTTTAACTTTTCAGACACGTTGTCGTGATTAAAGGGTGAATCAGTATACTTAATTGGAAAGATGGATTAATAATTCCATTGGAAAATCACGTTTCGATGATTCTCTCTAGATGGATGAAAATCAATGAAACGTTTCGATATAAATTTCATACTGAAATCCTACTCAAAACGAATGCTTATATTTAAAAATAAATCGTTGCACAAGAGATAAATAAAACGGTAATGAAATGATTGCCACACAGAGTTACCGTTACATAAAAAGACATTACAAAGCTGCCAACATCTTCTTTGTAAATATATATTAAATAGCGATCGAAGGTCGCTATGATATATATTTCTATCAAATTAATTTTTCAAAAGTTTATCATAAATTTTTACTATTTTCAATTACATAGATATCCTAAGAAAATTTGTTGCACACCCAATCAATCACTCCTCTTTTTTCATTATTAATTTTCTACTTATATTATTTAGGAATTTAAAACAAATTTTTACATTGTTATTATATTGAAAATACATATTTTGCATATGTAATTTTCATAATTATACATCAGAATTAAATTTTTAATGTAATGATAATACGTATAGAGGAATCGAAAAAAATAGAAAAGAAATACTTTATTGCAGGTTCTAGATGGCGTGTGAAGAAATTGTCGTACAAGATTAGCAAGTATCCGCGAAATTTGCCACAACACAAAGTTGATGCCGAGTTGAACAAGGCGTTCAAAGTGTGGTCGGAGTACACGGATCTCGTTTTCGTCCAAAAGAAGTCAGGCCAGGTAAGGCGAATAATATTTGCCGAGATTTTTCACAATCGTGAAATGAAAAAGAAATAGTGATCTTACAAAAAACTTATAGCTAAAGTCTGATAAATGCAAACGTTGTTACCAATGATGATTTCGCATGATTTTATCATTGCTTATTTTTCATGAAACCATTTGCGATATTAATCGCAATACATCGATGAGTCTTAGGTTGAAATAATTTTTCATACAAGTATAGCAGTTGAAAAATAAATATTCAAGAGAATTCGAGTAAAATTCAATAAAATAATTATAATTTGGATTGAGTTATTCCAAAAAAAAAACTAATCATATAATTATGCAATAAAACATCAAAAAATGTCTTATTTATATAAAATAAGTTGAAATGTCTGAAAACAATGTCTAAATACAGATTTCAATGAAATTGACATTCTTATAGATCTTTTAATATTCGAATAATATTTTTATGGATTATAAAAATTTTCGATCCACTTTTGTTAGGTCCATATCGAAATTAGATTCGAGAAAGGCGAACACGGAGATGGAGATCCTTTCGATGGACCTGGTGGCACTTTGGCTCACGCTTACTTCCCCGTATACGGTGGTGATGCCCATTTCGACGACGCAGAACAATGGACTATCGACAGTTTCCGTGGAACGAATCTGTTTCAAGTAGCTGCTCACGAGTTTGGCCATTCTCTCGGTCTCAGCCACAGCGACGTTAAATCCGCTTTAATGGCGCCCTTTTATCGCGGCTACGAACCTTATTCCGGTTGGACGAGGACGATATTCAAGGTATCCAGGTAAATATCGTAAACAACAAAGTCTAATTGTTGCGAATATCAATTTTCATAAACGGAGAATGATAGAATATCTTAAAAATTTGAGAAAGAAAAATGGAAGAATAAAGAATGCATTTATAACACATTTTGGAGTAAAGGTTGAGAAGAAAGATACGAATTGTATAGCATAGCATAACGAAGAAGCAGAAGAGTTTGAATTTTTCGTATGATTTAGGCTCTGTATGGAGTGAAAACGTCAAATAACGGTGGAGTTCCAAGCGGGCCAAAACCAACTACCACGGTATCACCTAGCGAAGAGGACTCGGAACTTTGCACGAATTCAAAGGTCGACACCATGTTCAATTCCGCGGAGGGGCATATGTACGTGTTCAAGGGTACGTATATAAATCAAAATTGATATGATATATATAAAATTTAAAGATTAATAATATATTTATAAAATAGAATTATATTCATCTAAACTTTATTTTATTCGTTGAAATAACTCTATCTTCAACTTTTCCTTAAGTAAAAATATTACGTAAAAATCATAAATAATAGGAAAAGTTAAAATTTATATGGATTCCAATGCCATTTCTGAATAGAAAAAAAATGAGTAAATCACTTAATAAGCAGAAAAGCCAAATACAAAAATCTAAAGAAAATATATCGAGAAAAAAATTCAATTTCTAAATCCTAATGTTCATTTATTTTGTAATAAATGATTAAATAAAGGTGATCGTTACTGGAGATTAACCTCGGATGGTGTAGCAGTCGGCTATCCCAAGCTCATTTCACACTCATGGAAAGGATTGCCAGGGAACATAGACGCTGCGTTCACGTACAAAAATGGAAAGACTTACTTCTTCAAGGTATGAAAAACTAATATGAACTGATATAACTATCATTTTTCACTAGATAATATCTCTGTTATATCTAGATATAAGAGCAAGAATAAAACGATAATACCGTGAATAAAGGATAAAAGAAGAAATAAATGATATTTGTTGCAGGGCTCGAAATATTGGAGATACGTGGGCAAAAAAATGGATGGAGACTATCCGAAAGAAATCAGCGAAGGTTTTACAGGAATTCCGGATAATATCGACACTGTGACCGTTTGGACCGGAAATGGCAAACTCTATTTCTACAAAGGTAGCAAATTCTGGAGGTTCGACCCATCCCAGAAACCACCTGTGAAGAACACTTATCCCAAACTGATCTCGAATTGGGAAGGGCTCCCCGATAATCTTGATGCCTCGATAGTTTACCGTGGTTACACGTATTTCTTCAAAGGAGACGCTTACTATCGATTCAACGATAGGACGTTTTCCGTGAGTAATTAAATTGGATCGTTCACATTTTATGATTTTGTGTTTTTTCGAATTTTTGATAAAAAATTGTATAACGTATAGATAAAAAGATTGGAAATTGTTTTTAATGACAAAATTGGTGAATGTAAAAAGAGAAAAAAGAGGGACATAGAAATCATACACAACTCAACATGATAAAACTAACATGTTCAAAATAATTGGAAAATAAATTACCGAAAACTTTCAGATCATACTAACCAAGAATTATTTCTAAATAAATAAAATAAATAATTGAAAATAAGAAAAAGTGCAGTACCTTCGATTAAATTGTTTTAAATACCGTTTAGGTGGACGTTGCTGATCCAGCATTCCCTAGGTCGACAGCTTACTGGTGGTTCGGATGCAGATCAGCCAACAAGGGAACGTTAGGTAATGGTTCAATGATTCCATGGTACAATAGCCAATGTAATGGCAATGATTGCCTATGGTTCCCCGAAAATTCTGTAAATACGTTTCCGAATGACGGAGATTTCTTCATTCTGGACCCCGTTGATGGTGACAATAACGACGTCGGAGACATCATATTAGATGCAGGTATTAAAGCTTCACTCGAGTCAAACCAGATTCTTACCTCGCTATAGTTTCATAGCATCCATTTTTTTTTATGATCAGAGTATTATCATATACTGTGTGTATAAAATATACATTTAAATAATATTAAATATTATATAAATACCTAAATATTAATATAATGCAATATTTATATTTTATTCTACTTTATCTTTATAAGGAAAATTTTAAATATATTTTGTATTTAGATTCTTTTTAAATATTTTTAATTTTTATACCATTTTTATACCAATTTTATACCAAAATTAATAAATTGCTAAGATTGTACTGTGATTTTTCTAAAAGTGGATACTTGAAGCTTCAAACTTATCTCACCACTACGAAAAATCGAATTTTAAGTGGTAATAAGTAAAATATGAATACAGAAAAGGCGAGGATACAGTATTTGGTGTCTCGAACACCTGGCTATTACATACCTAGGGCTTTTGTAACCATCGAAGAAATTTGTGCATGCAATAATAATCTGATAATTTAAAATAAAATTTTATACGAAACATAAGAAGTTAAACAGATGTTAGAAAATTATAGTTTAAAATATAAGAAATAATCGTTTCTCAACAGCTCTTCCATATTCGAGAGACCAAAATTATTATTACACACGCTACTCTAATTTTAATACAACATGCCACATATTTCGTAATTTATGTTTCAACTCATTGTCTTATAATACAAAGTCGCACTCGTAGCGTAAATTATCATTTAAATGTAATATGATATTAAATAGTTATAATTAAATTTTGAATTCTATTGATCATTATAACGCAATATGATCATTTCAACATTAATAATAATATAACTGTGGCTTGCACAAAATTCTTCGATGAGTATAATATTTACAAACATGGTGGTCATCTTAATTTGGGATATTTCATGGTGGAATATTAACATTGAAACGAAAAAAATAATTGAATTATCAATATCATTGGATCTTCAATGCCATGCAGCATATAACATATTAATTTGCTAACAAATACATAAAATCGCTTCAATATATCATTATTCATTAATTTATCATCTAAATTGCACATCAACAAAAATATTAATATAATTGAAAGTTATTAAATTATACAATACTTTATTATTTCATACAAGAATGAATATTTTAAAAGCTTTAAGCAAATAAAATTGCTTCGTTTTTTAATTAAGAAAAATCAATTTTTACTATAACAAATATTTTTTCCAGTACATGTACCCATTTGATGTACATCAGTTTAATTTTTATTATTGAAAATTGGATTATTTTATTTTTGTCAATGTGCAAAATTACATTTAATTTTATTCCTATCAGCCTTAGGATGACTTCCATGGAATCTTCCATGACCGAAAATTAAAAATTCTATCAAATTCCAAAATTAAATTTATTATTTAAATCCAGATTAAATATATCCAAATATTATTTTTTAAAATAATTATATAGAACTTTTGCAAACTCTCCCACAATACTGGAAATTTTCCTAAGGCTGTGTCCTCACGCATAAATACATATCCTATAATCCTTATTCTCCAAACAAATTGTTATACAAGTGAATCATTTGCGAAATTATTCTTCGCATGCTTGTCGAAGCCCAGAGTATTTATTAGCCAGGCAGAAAAAATGAAGTTTTATGTGTCTGCAAGAAAGCTCAAAACAAAAAGAGAAACCAAAGAAAGAATAGTATTTTCCACTCGATATGCTGATTTAACGTGACAGAAATAATGTAAAACGTCTGTCACCGTCATCGGATCCGTCAGTTTGATGGAAACAATAAATATTACAACACAAGCTTTCCATATCTATTAAATTTCTCTTTTTCGTATTTTTTTTTTTTTTTGTTGCTTATTCACGTGATCGCATTTTATCCACGAATTATTTGTAGTTTAATCATGTTATGTAGCTTTTTATTCTTTTTTTTATCTACCTATTTTATACGTCGCACACTGTTCTTGCTCCAAATTTAAACATTCATAGGATATATATCATCATATTCCTAACACTCACTTACGAGTATAATTCGCACCATGGTCTCTTTCATCAGATATGAATTTCGCTTCTGCATGTTTTTTTTTTTCTTCTCGATTTCACTAATAATTTTCAATAGCTTGTAAAGCAAAAATAATACCGTCTTCGATTGCTTTCGATCCTAAAAACCTACAAAATTATATGGAACGATCAATTAATATTGCTTTCGACAGCTTTCAACGATTTCACGAACAGAATATTTCACCGAGTTAAATCAGGTCTGTCAACATCAGCTCTAAGCGTTAAATTATCTGTTTACCACGATAATCAGATATTTGTTGATCAGTTATGTGTGATATGGAATATAAATCTGTGAAATTATAAATACGAAATCGTAGAAACAGAGCTCATTTGACAGACCTGTGCGAAATTAAAATCACTGTGATCGCATGATGAATATCCATTCATTGCGTTGACAGCGTTGCACGTAATTTTTTTTTTTTTTTGTCATATAATTACGAAGGATGTATCACAGCACGAAACACATAAAATGTATGCGCACATGCACGAATCTCTGCGCAAACGTATGAAGCAAAGCAGGTGCATGGTAAAAACTATATGGAGGATGGTTACGTTGTTTGGAACTTAATCTATCATAGGAAATTGTCTACTCCCGTCTTTCCTTTTTTTTTTTTTTAACCTTTTTAAATGAATAAAATCTTGTCTTGATTTCCTATACCTCTGCCTCACTTCTCCCTTTTCTCGACATTTCTTTTTTGTATTTCTACACGTATAAACACACACATATCGTATACAAAAATGCACGTATTTTTGTTTTACTCTTTTACGTACAATTTATTTGCACGGGTATCGTTCTATTTTTAGTTCTAATAATCTTCTTCTACAAAGAATCGTTTGGTACAGAGCATGTTGTATTTTCTTTTCTTTCTGCACTCATTTTCTTTTATTCTCGGGTTTATTTCTATTTTGGAAAAGTCTATGTGGAAGTTGCTAAACATCTATACTATAGTAATGAATATTCCCCTAAATGCTCTGCATTTATTGTAAGGTATCTCTATTTAAAGAAAAATATAAATTTCTTTCTTTTTTCAATGAATTCAATATTAACTGATTGAAAGATTAAAATTCTATATTTTGAAAAATAGATCATTCAAAAACAATTATTCCTTGCTTGCGAGAACAATTTAAATTTTAACTTATTATTTTTTTTTTTAATTTCTAAATAAGAGTGTATACTTATTAATCTTCTGAAGATTTTTTGTGCATAAAAGATACTTTTTCACAGTACGTTGCTGCACTTGTACATGATTAATCACGTGTTGTTTCTTCTTTTAAACGATTTTACTTTTAACAACGAAAATATAAAAAAATCAACATCATTTCGTTTGATCTTTCAAAATAAATTTACATTTTTTTTACATCTATGTAATTTACCCAAATAAAAAAAAAAGCATTACAAAATTCATAATCAACAAAATGAGTAACTGTCCACAAGGCTCGCGTCATTTATCTTTATTTTAAACTTATATTTTTGTTAAAGCACATTTTTTATTTAAAATTCTAATATATATATAAATTATTAATCCTCGATGATAACGCAACGATGAACAACGCAAACATGAATCACACATTTATTCTCACGTATTTTCTCAAATAACGAATTCTCAAAAAAAATTTTGAAAATTGACATGATAATCAAAAATTGCAAAAGCACAAAAATCTTGAGATATATCTAATAAATGCTTCGATGATAAATTACGATGCCGAAAAATTTCGAGAAGAACGATCACGGGAATTACGTTTCGCGATGACAGTAACGAAATTCCATTAACCTGAAAAAACCTCACTTTTCCAGAAGACAACAATCTGTATTTTGAATCGCACGGTTACGGGAAAAAGTGAACGGACGGGAATGAAAACTTGTTCGTTCGAGGAATCTCGTTGAATCGTAAACTCGAGTTAGGAGGCAACAAAATGGGACAAGAAATTTTCAAGGCGAAAATATCATAAAAATCGAGACACACACAGAGATCACGAGGGGAAACGTTCAGGAAAAAGCCGATCTAATGGCGTAACTATAATAAGTTCCAAACAACAGCAACGATTGTTCAACTAGTGTTGTTTCACGCGAGATAAGTCGTGAGATTAAACGTGTTTGGTGCTGAAGTGAACCATCCATCAATCAGCGACGATTTCTCTTATAATTTGTACATATTTTTTCAATGTCGACCCTCCTACGATTTTTAAACAATTCGACAGGCGAAACGGACGAGCAGCTAGTTACGTCTTCCAATCAGGATATGGACTCCGCGGCGGGAAACGTTTTCACATCGTCATCGATATTGTGGTATCTTCCGCTCAATTTGATGACCTTATTCATCGCTAAGATTGTTGCCACTACGTAAAAAAGGATGAATTACTTGTTGGAGATCGTAAAGCGTTGATATCATCAACGAAGGTCCGATAATAAAATATTTGAACGGACAATTAAACGGAAGGAAAGTGTGACCTCAAAGTGTATAATCTTAGACGAAGGGAAACAGTGCCAAAAAAATGGCAATGTGCTAATCGACGCTCACGAATCGTGGATAGTAACTTTTTTTTTCAATATCGACGAACAAGTTAGCGAGATTTTGTTCGTTGTTACTTTTAATCTCTCATGAAACAATCATTCCAATTGAAGCAAATCAGGCATTTAGTTTGATAATGAATAAATATTTGCTTCATCCTAGTTATTAAGTATTCTCTGCAGCATGTTTTATAAGATGTGATTTTTCGTTATATAATCGAGTCGATTTAAAATATCTTAAGAGACATGCTGTATATATGTAAATTAAAAAACAAAAACGTGTAAAATATGTTTATACATAATATTTTATGTCGCATGCAATTTTGTGTCATTCATACCTTTTACACTGCCTATTTATTCTTTATTCGTACGTTGTGATTTGTATAAACATTAATATTGAAGGCACTTATTTTATGTATCTATGCAGGACATATACACTAGGTTTAAAACAGAACTGAAATTGCTGTAACATGACATAGCAAATAAAAATAACAGTCAATTGATTCGTTGACTGACAGTATTATGAGTATTATAGAGTTTTCATTATTTTCTGCAAGAATGTAAATACTTCTCAGATTGTAAGGAAACAAGGAATTGTGAAAATATCTTAAAATCTTAAATCATAATTTAATAAATAGTTGATTTAAAAATCAATGAAAACATCTATAATATTCATGATAATGATTACATCAAAAAAATATTTATCTTCCATACAAGTGCCTTAAAATGTTTTGAAAATACATACTGTAGTAAAATGCAGCTTTCTATTATCAATTTTTTATCAATTTTGTTGTTATTATTGTTTATTAATTAACAACGATTATTATAATTAATTTCTTTTTTTCATTTATGTGACATTTTTTCTTTTAAACAATTTTCTACTTCATTTTTATTTCATTATACAATAGAATTATAATAAATAATGTTGATAATAGTTACACATTCATTCCTGACTATATTATAAAATGTGAGATTTAATGTTATATGTAAAAAAAAAAGAATTTATTATTTTAAAAATAATAATAATTGATATAGTAGAACCTCAATTAATCATAACAATTTTGGGCACAAATAATTCGAAGAAATCAAGGGAAATAATTAAAAATCCATTTTTTATACAAATTGCTTTTTTTTTTAAACTTCTTTTTACGTTTTGAATATTTATAATTAAATTTATTATATATTAATAATAATAATTGTCTAACAATTATCAATCATTTTTTAAAACAGGAAAAAAATCCAATAAAAAAACTAATTTTAAAAACAGAAATTTGATAATTGGAAAATAAAAATACATAGATTAAAATTCTCGAGAATTATTTTTTATTTTAAATTTATTTTGTTTAATATTTTTTTATTTTAAATTAATTTTTGTGAACAACACATTACATTGAGAATGAAAATTATTATCGAAATAATAATTACTCTTAATGCAATTGTCTTTTAAAAATAATTTTCGATAACAACTCTTTTTTACTTTCAAATAGAATAAATTCGTAACAAAGAGAAGATACTGGATAATCGAGACTATGTTTAATCGAGGTTCTACTATATTATGCTTTAAAACCAAAATTATATAAAAAACAACAATATATAGTATGTATACATTCACTGTAAAATATATGTATACTATGTATTGTAAATTTTTTTAGCACATTTTTTTCTATATATTTTATATTTTATATTCTTTAAATGTTTAACTTAAAAATGAAAAAAATCAATTGAAAAAAGTATTAAATCTTGCAATAAAAATATATAGAATATTTGCAATACATAATGTATATATATTTTTATAGTAATATTAATGACATTACAATGTTTCTTTGCATTCTAAGAAATGTTTTCAGAATTTTGTTATAAATAAATAAGTACTTAATAATGTATCTAGGATTTAAGAATGCATAAAGCACAAAAAAGCCTTGTACAATTTTTTAATACTTGTTATAAATTTATAATAAAAAATAATTTTTTTTTAAATATATATATGAAAATTTTATATTGTGATGATAATTGAAACATTTAAATGTGTAAAGTATGTAATACAAAAATATAACATACATAATATAATATAATGTACAAGGCCTTTGTGTTACATCTTTTGTCAGGGCATTAAAATGATTCATATTGAAACTTGCCACATTGTGCTATGTCCTGACATTGTACAGTATATCAATAAAAAATCATACATTCGTTTTAACTAACGCTTATTTTAAGAATTAAGCAAATATCTGATTATTATCGAATTATTTTTATTAGTTAATATTTTACAAAGAATAGACATTTTAATAAAAAATATATAAAATTATTTATATTAAATATTTACTGTAATAAATTTTATTAAGATCTTTCCTTCCTTTCAATTTTCATTAAATTTTTATCTAATGTGATCTTATATCTTAAAAGTTTAGAATATTTTTTAAGAAGCTTTTTCCAAAACTGTATGACATCAGATATTTTTAAATTATTCCATATAAAATCTCTCCCACGATTTGCAATTTTTTTTGAAATTTCATCATTATCTATAGCAAATTGTATTATTTCTCTGCAAATATAAAAATATATGAAAACAACTTTTTACTAAAAAACATTACCGAATGATAAGAATACAAAACTACAATAAATTACTCTAATACTGTTTGATTAGCATCCTTAGACACAGGTATATAGTGTATCCAAGGAATCATTGCATTATAATAAAATTCAATCCATTCATCTCCAACATGGAATACTAGAGAACGACATAAAAATAAATGTTTATGTCTGAATGATGCTGCAACACCACGATAATTGAATAAGTATTTGTATTTACAATGTGCTTCTAAAGGAACTTCAGAAGCTGGAGGTGCATATAATGTATCCTATAAACATACAACGTACAAAATTATCCTGCATATATAATGACACAAAAAATACAAATTAAAAATTAAGTAAGTAATTAAAAATTACTTCATTGGACTTCCAAGCTTGATTTTTTGTATATTGAGCATTTACTAAGTTTGGCTTCTTACGACTTAATAATACTAAATTATCACGCTCTGAACTTGTTCTAGAACCTCGAAAAAATACTTTATTTTCCTTTTTCTCCCACAATGTGTTATTACTAGCTTTATCTAAAGATATACAATGTTCATCCCATCTTCCAAGACCACGAGGATACAAAGAAATTGCAGGTCCACCTTCCCAAAATGCCCATGCTGGATATGTAATATCATAATATTGTGAAGTCTACAAATAAATTTTACAATTATTAATTATAACTCAAATTATTAATAAATTATCATTTTATAAAATAACAATTCTAAACAACAGTTTTAAAGAGATTTTTAACAATTATATTTACCTTGCTAAATGAAAAAATAGGTAATGGATCCCCAAAATGTTTACTTGATTGAGGATAATCTCTTACATTTATAACTAAGTCCATATCTGTTAATCCAGGAGCAAGTTTTAAAAGAAAGTATTCTATTCCAGCACATCTTGAAGGGAACATACAATCTTTTTGTCTATATAATTTTCCTTGTATTATTTGATAAAAAGTTCCTCTATAAAATTTATAAGGAAAAATTTCTTATAAAATAAAAAACTCATCATATCTACTAATATTTCATTATTATACCTAATTTTTGCAGTATCTATTAAATCCTTATTTATACCTTTCTCTTTAAAAGGTTTTAGGTCATTTATAATAACATCCTTGAAACAACTATTGTTAGTATTATTACAAATTCTATAATCTTTTTCTGCTTCTTCAATTGCATTATAATATTTACTATATTGTTTATTTAAAACTAATAAAAGAAAAAATGTATGAAAATTACCAAATAAGAATCATTAAACATTCATGATTACCTTTATAAATATTTTTTTCTTCAACACAATCTTCTGTGCTACCAATAGAACAATATTGTTCTTCACAATTACTTGTGCAAACAATAATTATTAAAAAAATAAAATTTAATCTTAACGTATACATTATAAAAAAACATGACAATTTTTGAATAAAGTACAAACAATATTGTTACCTAAAAGCACAGATGAAATAAAGAATAGACCTAACATACAATGCATTTTTTGTCCCATATATTGAGAATTACTAGAACTTCATACCATTTTATCGTCATTTTCAACATTACCGATTTGATTTGGAATAAGATTGCAACGCTAGTTAGCATGATAATAACAGAACACGAGAAAGAGAATAAACGTGACATCTTACGAGACTTTGGGCAATATATTCTGAAATACCGACAGAAAATCAGAAAACATTACATTTCTTACGCCATCTATCTAGCATGGTATAATATAAATGCATACATAAAAAATTACATTAATCAAAAAGTACAAATCTATGTTCACATTTCACAGTTTTATAAACTAAAACAAAAACATTATTTATTTTCCTACTACAATTTTTATGCATGAAAATTATAATCGCGCTCGCAGCCAATTAGCTCATATTATTTCTTATAAAATACATAATCGAACCACTGATATTACAGTGATACAATTATATATTGTATATCAAATAATAATGATTTCCCAGGTCTCACCGCTTGGAGGTTGCTGCGAAATGGAGACCTACCCTGACCACGACGTCCCATCCACCCTCCATTTTCACGAAAATTTATTTACTCACAAATAAATTCTCCTTTCGATACATGTTTGCAAAACGTTCAAATTTTTGATCGTTGTGCAACATGAGCAAAAAAAGGAGCTGTAAAAAAAAACCGACGCGGAAGACTAAACCTGAAAATAAAATTTAAATTATAAGACTTTCTATCAATATTTTACACTTCCATCGGCATGAAAATGAAAAATTATTGATAGTCAAGTCCACGCAAAAATAAAAAAATAAAAAAAAAGCAAAATAAGCTTTCCAAAAAAGCACTACATCATTTTACTACAAGCACTACATCACACTACAAGCACTACATCCATCTACTTATCTACAATATCTACTTTTCTACAATATACTACTATATTTAATACCCTTGATTGTACACGTACTCAATTTTAAATACGTTTTCTTTAATCAACATCATCCTTTAATCAAAATCTTTTGCTACTATAAAAAAATCTGAAATAAACTTAAATTAAAAATATATTATATAACATATATATATATAATATATAACATTAACATTTTAGTTATTATGAAAAGCTCTTTTCCCTACCTATATAAAAATTAAACAATTTGTTTATAATTCTATTTATTGGAAATCTAACAAATTCTCTTCATAATC